TGTCTTGCCCCGGCGTAGGCTGCTCGTAGTCGCCTCTGGTGTTCGCCAAGCCAGTGGTCCACCGTACCTGCAGCGGAGTCTGTTACTCTCCCTAGCAAGAAGTCCACCGGCAACTGTGGATCTTGACCAAACATCAGCAGGTAAGGCGACTCACCAGTTGATTGGTGTATGGTGGTGTTGTAGGCAAAGATAAGTTGTGGGAGGTACAACGTCCAGTCCCTCTTCTTCTCCACTGGCAGCGTGCGCAGCAAATTGTGCAATGTACGGTTGAAACGTTCACACTGCCCATTTCCTTGCGGTCTGTAAGGTGTGGTCCTACTTTTCTGAACCCCATACAACTCACATAGCTGCTGGATGAGTACTGCTTCAAAACTTCTCCCTTGGTCGGAATGAATCCTAGACGGAACTCCAAACCTGTAGAACCACTCATGGACTAGCAGTCGAGCCACCGTAGGTGCTCGCTGATCTCGAGTGGGAATGGCCTGTGTATACTTGGAAAATACATCAGTCATTATCAAAACATGTTCTCTACCATCTCTAGCCGGTTCAAGCAAGGTAAAGTCAATGGCCAATATCTGATTTGGCCGGGAGGCCAATAAATGGCCCATGGAGGCACGAACCTTTGGTTGGACCGCTTTTGCCAATGTACAGCGTTCACAGTTCTGGCAATACTCTTTAATTTCATTAATCATACCTGGCCAGTAGCATCTTTGTCTCACTAGGTCGGTTGTTCGTTCTACCCCTTGGTGTCCTTGGCCCTGATGTAACTGGTGCAATACTTCCTCTTTTAGTTTAGCAGGCAATACTAGCTGTCGTCCTTCCTCCCCGCCATCTGGTCTAGACACACGGCGATACAGAACTCCCTCCTCCTTTGTCACCCTCTCCCATTGGCGAAGCATCTCCAAAACTGCTTTGGGGATGGTGTGCCTCTCCTGCTGGTCTGGGCCTTGTTTCCGGTTCCAAAAAAACAGAAAGTGACTGATGATAGGATCCGCTTCCTGCAACGCAGCTAGATCTACAGCAGAATGGGTAGGGAAAACTGACATGGTTGACTGAGTTACCTCCATGGTCGGTTGTGTGCCGAGTTGTGCGATCATCTGAGGGACGGCACTGCCCGGCATCAAGGCACCACATCCTTCAGCAGGCACATCAGTTTGATACTGCCGAGATAATCCATCCGCATTACCATTGACTCGGCCGGGTCTGTACTTAATGGTGAAATCAAAGTCAGAAAGTTGAGCCGCCCACCGCTGCTCGAGGGCACCCAATTTAGCCGTGGATAGATAACTTAAAGGGTTATTGTCAGTATACACACACACACACTTCTGACCGAGGAGATATTCCCTGAATTTCTCGGTCATAGCCCACTTGAGCGCCAAGAACTCTAACTTCATGGAACTGTAATTGGTCATATTTTCGTTCCGTTGGCTTCAATCCTCTGCTGGCGTAAGCCACTGGGTCTCACCTTTACCACTCTGCTCCTGCGAGAGCACTGCTCCCAGACCACTGTAGCTGGCATCGACTTCCAGGATGAAGGGCCGGGGAGAAGTCAGCATAATTAAGCACTGTTGCAGATTCCCAATCTTGCTTCTTAGAATTGTGAAAACTTCCTCGCACATTCGTCTGTCCAGACCTCATTGAATGGGCGACCGTATGGCTTTTTCCTTTTGGACCCCGCCATTTCAGCGACTAGGCGGTGCAGAGGAGCGGCAAGAGTAGCAAAGCCATTGACAAACCTTCGATAATAACTGGCGAACCCCAAAAAGGAACGTAGTTCCGATGCGTGTTTGGGTGGGGCCCAATTAGCCACTGCACTGATTTTATCTGGGTCTGTGGACACTCCATCCTTTGAAATAATGTGGCCCAGATACTTCACCTTGGGCTGAAAGAAGCTGCACTTCTCCAATTTGACTTTCAGGCCTTCTTGGTGAAGCCGACTCAGCACTGCCTCTAGGCGTGTCACATGCTCCCCTATGGTAGAGGAAAACACCACCACATCGTCCAAATACAAAAGTAATGACTCAAAATGCTGGGCCCCAAACATTCGCTCCATCAAGCGTTGGAAAGTGCCTGGTGCATTGCACAAACCAAAGGGCATACGGTTAAATTCAAACAACCCGAAGGGCGTACAAAAAGCTGTCTTGTTCTTGTCGTCCTCTGCCACGGCAACTTGATTGTACCCACTGGCCAGATCCATGGTACTGAACCAGCGGGCACCCGACAAGGCATCCAGCGATTCTTCGATACGAGGCAGAGGAAAAGCATCTTTTCTTGTTTTTCCATTAAGTTGCCGATAGTCCACACAAAGACGTATGCTGCCATCTTTCTTTTTCACCAGGACAACCGGAGAGGCATAGGGGCTGCTACTTTCCCTAATGACCTGATTTTCCAGCAACTGGTGGATGTGAGCTTTAACGGCCTCGTAATCCGATGGAGGGATACGTCGATAGCGCTGCCTTACGGGCGTATTGTCCACTAAAGGTATGTCATGAACAATAAGATTTGTACAGCCTATGTCACCCTCACATGCGGAGAACACTGACTCGTACTTATGTAAAAGGGACCTCACCGCGCCCTGTTCGTGGGAGGGTATACTGGACAAGTCGATGTCCCTGATAGCATTCTGTACAGATCTCCCTCCAGCAACTTGGACCGAGGACGTTGCCACAACACCTTGGTCTGACCTCCCCTCAATTTCAATAACGCGTCCGGTAGGCTCACAATCTCTACATGGCAGACTTCTCCAACCCTAGTGCGGGGGGGGAGAAATATATCAACAGTGCCTACATTGACAAATGGGACGTACACGACCTTGTGCAACCTTTACGATAGCTGGTGCCAACAATAAACCACCGGGGAGATTGCTATTCTCAGGGGGTTGGAATAGTACAGAGCCACGAGGATTAAATAATCCCTGGGAGCAAGTGGTTGCCACTAGTTTCATGGTGCCAGCCGGGACACAAACTCTGGCCTTACCTCTAACTCTGACTGTCCCTACTTTCTCAGCCTGTGGTGTGCGGTGCACTTGATGACAGTACTGCAAGGCCTGGTGCCAGGTGCTATTCGCATTCTTAATAGCGGGGAGGTCAAACATGCCCAAACCGTGCTGGCCAAATAGTTCTTCGAATCACTGGCCAATAACATTCATTCCCAGGACACCTGGGTAATCTGGTTTTGGTAAGGATTGTGGGGGGTCCTTAACAATGAGAATTCCACGTTTTGGAATCACCTTGCCAAGCACTGTGACGTCTAACTCTAAGTAACCAACATAGGGGATGTCTAGATGGTTAGCCGCTCTGAGCTGCAACCATCTGCATGACTGCAGCCTCTCCTGACCCCAGGACTGGAAATGCTGAATAAAGAAGCTTTCAGTTATGGTGGATACCATGGATCCAGTGTCTAACAAACAGGAAACTCCCACCCCCGCGATATGGACAACGACATGGGGGCAAGGATGTACCAACTTTGAGATTGATTCAGGGTCGATCTGAACTATGCTATCCGAGCCTAACATGACCCCTTCTGACTGGCGGCTCTGCCCGTCAGAGGGTGTTAGTTTTCCGACGGCGGCTGCGAGAACCTTGGCCCATCCCGTCCAGATTGGGGGGCTGCCCGTTCATTCTCACAGTCCCTAGCAAAATGGCCTGGCTGCTGACACCGCCTACAGATTAATGCACCCCTAGATTGAAACTGAGGGCGCTTAGGGACGCTTAAGGCTGACAATGTTTTAGAAAACTGCATAAACTGCTCCTGCTGACTTTTTAACATTTCCCGTAGCTCGGCTACCTCCGCCTTCAAAGTGGCGTGGGGGCCCATGCATTCGGGTCTACCGGAAGCGCCCTGATGGATGCTATAAACCGACGGGACAGAATAGCTTCTCGGCCTCCCTTCCCGTGGTCTGCCTTCTCGCTCCCATCGGACGGCTGCATCACGGATATCATGGAGATCATAGGCGGGGTTAATACGAACAAGTTCTTTCAGCGCACGGCTAAGGTTGCCATCCGACACGAACTCAACATATTGATCGCGTAGGAGGCTAGCTGCCTGTGCAACTCCGTCAGGAGAATGTTGTATAACAATATCCATTAGGGAGAATAGCGCATTTGCATACTCACGCAATGTCTCCCCTTCTTGCTGTTTCCGAGAGTGGAAATTCTGCAATAGAGCAATAGGTGAGTCTGCACAGCCATACTGAGTCTGAAGGATGGAAAAAATTAGTTTGGGATCTTCCCGAACCTGTCTAGAACGATACTTAATTTCGTCTCTTGCTGCTCCTCCTAAATGGTCATAAATGAAATGGGCCTGTTCTACAATAGACATCCTACGTGTGCGAAATTTTGACTGCACCTCATCCACCCATTCCCTCACCGATACGTCTCCTTCTCCTGTAAAGGTGGAACACTTATCCTTGGGAATGTACACCACACGCTCAACAACTGGTGGCAACCTAGTAGAGGTTTCCATACCGAAAGTACCGAGTGGTTGCGCAGAGTCAAGACTACCATCGTTGGCAGAGGGAGGTGCCGTCGAGGAGCCCGGGACCGGGTTTAGGGACTGTCTTTCCTGTAACAGCCGCTCATTATCTGCCTTCAACCTTTGCACCATCTCCCGAAGTTCTTGCATCTACTCGTCCATGATGACACCGTGTCTTCTCCGAAAACTGCTGGAAGCGTTGTCTTAGGGGTCCTCCGGCACACAAACTGCTGCTTTTGCTCCACAATACAACAAACACAAGCCTATCAACAATTGTATGGACCTTATAAGGAATCAGCTGCACGGTATTTACAAACATACATTCCAAAAAAAATGCTTAAGCAACATGTCTCTGTCCTTGGTCCTGCCAGCAACGCCAAATGTGACACCAAGTAGGGGGGGGGGGGGGCTGATTTATTTCTAACTACTGGGATAACACCAGGGTCTTTTCTTTATTATAAGAGGGGGAAGTCCTTGAGCCGGACTGGACAATACAGGTTCGGTTTACTCAAGGAACAGAGATCATATTGTGGTACAAAACAATAATTTATTATTACAGCAGTAAAAAACACACACCGTAAACCTATTCTAATTTGGCTGACAGTTTATCACGAACAATCTGTGTACTTGCCCGGGTCCCTAAACACAGCAGCGGTGGGGCGAGCGTCAGTGTGGAGACAGCGAATCCCCCAGTTCATCTAATCACCCGTGCAACCTATAAACATGCAACACACACACACACACACACACGCACACACACAGCAACTCACTCACGCAACGTCAAAACAAAGTGCGTTAAAAACAGTTCATGCAATATCACGCCACATGCTAAAATCTGATCTAAGAAAATACCCACGCTATTCCTCCACACATCGGGCACCCCCCGCTCGAAATAAATAAAAACAACAGTAGGCAAGTACCCGAAACAAAACCGGAGCACGGGACGCATACAATGTTAGGATATCAGCTGTTTACAATCGCTAATCACCACTCGTACCCGGATACGGCAAAACAGCAGTTTGTGTGCCACCTGGAAAGGCTGAGGAGCTAAACCCTCCCCAACGACGTCCGAAGGGACTCCACTCGGCCGGCAAAACCTGCAAGGTTGAGATCTATAAGCTGCCAATTTCTCCCATCACAAACAACCTACCAGTTAGCGACCTACCTGTTACTCTCCTCTCAGCGGACTGCTAGAGAACGGGAGACGGCCCGTAAAATAGGGCGCTCATTGATGACGTCAGCTCAACCCCTTGACACTACCCGTCACATATTACTTATATCTCTATAACAAAGAGAACTTGATGAATTAGTTGATGAAGACATGGAACCGTCATATGACACCATGAGGATGAGACCTACAAGTGAGAACGCACAGAGAACATCGGGACATCAAGACAACATTTGTGTTCCCTGTTTGTGATTTGACTGGAATGAATGGCTCCTCAAACCCGTTGGAAACGAGGCTGGTTGAGAATTTACAAAGCAGTAGGTAAATACTGTAGGGGCAGATAAAGATATGCAGAGGCATTCTTTATATCACATGCATCACATTTTTCTAGATGTTCTAATATAAAGCGACTTGCAGTAAGTGAATTCAAACAAGAGGGAACAGAAGCAGCAGAAGGGATTTTTCTTTTGAGAAAGCAACATTCATGAGTGTCATCCACGTGCTAATTACTTCAGCTATAGTGGGTAGATATGTGTGTTTAGCTCTAAAGGCTTCATTCTAACTGATATCATTAGGGAACTCCTTCCACCATTTGGGAGCCAGGACAAAGGAGGACTTTGTGGAGTGTTTAGCTCTCTGTGAAGAAACAATAAGCAGATGCAGGAGATGCAGAGGTCAAAGGTGAAGACGAGTCGTGGTCGAGGAGGGAGTAAGCAGCACTCCCTAAAACAACAACTGGTATCTTGGGGACGTGTTGGAGCCAATAAATCCATCCACAGGTCGCATTTCCTCTCCACCAAGTTTAAGAATCGCATACGGTTTGAATGAAAGCATCGTTTCACGATGAGACAATTCGCTTCAACATTTTCTCTCACATATATGTGCATGACAATTGTTAACTCTGTTTTGCTTTCAAAGGAACAGGCGATTCCATGCGAGAAAGTCCAGGTCGGCAACGACAACCAGTAGAAACTGTTGAGAGGTTTTAGGACGTTGTGGGATCAGGCAGGAGGAGGCTGCTGGGGATTCACTTCACTCCTTTTACACCTTTACTCACGCGGTGAGGAGAGGAACACGGCCTCGTTGGTGCGACTCCACAAGCGTGTGTCCTCGATGTCGGGCATCTTTCTCTCCAACGCAACAGCAGCTGGTGCAACGTAACGGTGATCCTACAACACTGTTCTCCTGATGTGGAATCCTTCACATCAACCGTAAACCCTTTTACTCCCCGTGAGTTTGCTTCATTCATCCTGGTCGGTGTTTACAACGTGCACGAGGCACAGCGGACACGCGCCGACCAGATGCGGCGTGTGGAGCGAACCGACCCGGACTCCACAAAAACCAGACTATGTAGAGACACAAGGTCCACTCACCAAATCAAAAGCAAGGCGAGACTATTGAATCCTACATCAGTGACGTGAGGATCACAGCTAAAAGTTGTCACTTTGGAGATCTGACAGATGAACTGATTTGTGACAGAATAGTGTGGTATCAGAAATGACTCTATGAGAAAGGCTTTGCTGCAGTGAATTAACCCTGAACAAAGCTACTACAATCTCTGCATATATGAAATGCCTGAGGAGAGTAACAAGGCTCTAGTCCAGCCCAGAACAGCTGCCGCTGTTGAGCAATTCAGCCAAACTCCAGTGTTTGGCACAACAGGTCGAGACTTGAACCTCAAGCAGGCCAACGTGATGCAAAATCCATTACAAACTGTGGAGGCAGCCACGCCACAAATGTCCTGCTTACTGTCAGTGCCACATCTGCAGGAAATTCAATCACTACAGAAAATGCTGCAAGTACATGTCATACGGTCAAAGGAGAAGGGCTACATAAAGAGGAGGGACAGATCGGTGCACCAGCTAGAGCTACAAGAAGATCGCACAAACATTTAAACATCTCATGTTGGTCTCTGAGAGGATCCTCAGAGTAACTTTACTGTGGTTTTTAGAAGCAGGCATG